CAACTGGACTGTTTTTTCCTTGGGGAAAAAAAACAGTCCAGTTGTTTTTTTTTGGGGGGGGGGGAAGGGAAGCACCTTTGAGAGAACTATGACCTGGATGACTGAGAATCTCCGAAGACATGAGTTTATTTTAAGAAAGCCCTTTCTAAATCAAGAGTGGGAAGTTCACCTAACCTTATGGGAGATTGTTCCTGTCCGATCCCATTCTCTAGTTCTTTTTCGCTGAAGAGAGTTTTCATTCTGCTATAATAATTGTGCATCTAAAGTTTCATCCCTTAGGTCGAAGCAGAGTAGTGTTTCTCAACCATGTCAACTTTTAAGTTAAGTGGACTTCAATTCCCAAAATTCCACTGCCAGCATGTGGGGATTTGAAGTCTATACATCATAAATTGCCATGGTTGAGCAGTGCTAAGTCAGAGGGTACTCACAAGGATTTTTCTGAAGCCATTATGGACACGGATGTACAGCTCTTCTCTCTCTCGGATGAAAAGGAGCTGCCCTTCAGGCACCTCATGAGCTCTGCTCATCAGGTTCTGGTAGGTTGCTAAAATCCGTACCTTTGGGAGAAAAGGCATTTTAAAAACATGAGGTAAAAAAACTTGTATTTTTGCTATTATTGGTTAGTGTTGGCAATAAAAGGGGAGCAAGAGTGAAATGGAAATGAAAACCCTCCAAGAAGTGCAATATTATCGTTCTCGTCTTAATTAACCCAAATACTACCACCCACATTTGACCATTCTGTTGCCAGATTACAGCAGTGCAATCTTGGGAGGTTGAGGGGGAAGGCAGTTGAAAGCTACAGGTTGTCCATCTTTGTGTGAAGACAATGGCTGGGTCTGTTGAACCAGAGATTGACACTGCTATAGTCTAATCTGTACGTTGTGTAAACCCAGATTAAATCTGTGAGGCTTAATTTTAAGATCAACAATCCAGAGTGTAATAAATTGGAGAATAATGCCCTAAAAATACGAGTTTTTCGTCTTACCCCCAAAGAGGGTGGGTCACTAATGCCTGGAGATCCTGGTGGTCCTGGAGGCCCTGGGGGTCCTGGAATACTGATATCTGAAAGAAAGCAAAACCATATTTAAACCATGATCATCCGGAAGGCGTCTTATATTTATAACAAATTAATTGAAAAGGCATTAAGTATCTTACTCACGTTGCCTGTGGGGACCTGGGAAAGAAGGGGGCCCTGGAGGACCTGGAGGGCCAGGAGGACCTTGCGGCCCTGGACGTCCTTCAAAGCCTGCCCCTGGAGGTCCTTGGGGGCCTGGAGGGCCAGGTGGGCCCCTGATGCTCTCACCTTTGGGGCCCTGGAAAAGCAAATATTACATAGATGCCATTACAGTCATAAAAGCAGAGAGTGATCCAATATTAACTCCTTGCCCAAAGGAAGGAATGTAGTTATTAATTAATAATCACAATTATTGATTAATCTAAGCCTGAGAAGGGGAATATCCAGTTTATACGGCTGTTTCCCATTCTTATTACATCTGCAGATGTGATTTGGTAGCCCTTTTTACAGTGACTTGTTCTTTGCTGTGGAGAACAAACCACAAACCACTCTGCACGGCTAACATGAGGAATATCCTTGGATTTGGTAGATAAAATCTGTCAGATTCATTCAGATTTGGCAAGATCCTGTTAAGGTTTTAGAAGCAAGGCTTTGCAGAGTTAGCTGGGATGAATTCAAGCTTTTAACTTCCATGGAAGTGAATAGGATTGTCAGGTCTGTTAACTTGGCTACCTATCCATTAGATCCTCTTCATTGGTGAAGACTCCCCAGGATCTGATATGATTAGATCCATGGAAAAATATTGGCTTTGTTGGGGGAAGGGATGTTTTCAGATGCTTTGAGAGAGGTGGTGGTGGTGTGCCCCCACCTTAAGAAACCATTGCTGGACTTAACAGTTGTAGAAAAGACAGGAGGAAGGAGTATTAGATATGTTTGCCACTTTGACCTATAAATAATAAAGATGTGATTAAAAATAAAAATTGAAAAAAAAATGTTCATCCCATCTCCAACATTCTCTTTTAATGGAAGGTTGTTGAGAAGGTGGTCAGGCTGCCGCCCAGAAAATCCAAATGAAGAGATTTTGCTTGTGGAGTTAACAAACATTGCAAAGACAGAAGAACCTATATCAGTGTTCGCTAATCTTTTTCCCATTGCGTGCCAAAAGTGGGGAGGAGCACAGGGAGGTCATGCATAGGTGTCCCCACACCCATAATCCTATGCGCATGACCCCCCCATGCACACCCTCCCCCCGCCTTTGGTGCACATTGGACCCGTTTTTCGCCCTCCCCAGGCTTCTCTGAAGCCTCCAGAGGGCGAAAAACGGGTGAAAATGAAGGCCGAAATCAGCTGGCCAGCGCACACATGCGCACTGGATTGGTATAGTTAAGGATGAAGGATGTGCGCCATTTGTGGCACGCATGCCATAGGTTCGGGCCTATATAATTAGACTAATTCTTTGGAACATTTTCAAATAAGGAGATATATGTGATAATATAAGGAGATAATATGTGCTCACAATGAATTGTTGTAAGTATCTTGCTTCATATTAAAGATAACTGACTTTATGGTTTAATAAATTGGACACTAAAGCTTCTGAGTAGAAGAAAAAATTACAAGCTAATTTTTGGTATCAATTAACTAGGACTTACAAAATGACACAAAACATCTTAGTATTAGAAATTTTAAAGGAGATCTTTGAAGAACACAGCCAAATATTAGTAGCTATAATATCAACAGTGTCAGTAATGAAGTCTGGCCAACACTTGAAGCCGACTGAGAAGAAATTAACCTCAGAGTGACAAATAGATAAATCCCACTCTTGCTTTCTTCAGCTACTGGTGTAAACTACAGGTAATCCTTACTTAGCAACCACAATTAGAATCAGCTGGGTCAAAAAATTATGTGACCACAATGAGCTTTTGATCTAACTCCCCATTTGGTTGTTAAGTGAAAAATCATGTGATTGCAATTTCTGATTTCTAGTCCTGCATTCTCTATTAACTCTGTTGCAAGCTGGTTGGGAAGTTTGCAAATTGCAAACACATGACCACAAGATGTTGCAATGATTGTAAATGTGTGCTGGTTGTGGAACTCCCAAATGGCTATCACATAACTGCAGGATATTGAGACAGTCATAAATGTGAGGACTGGTTGCAAAGCTGGTTTTTTAGATACCATTGCAACGTCAAATGGCTGCTAAATGTGACCATCGCTATGCAAGGACTGCCTGTGTCAGGTCCCCTAGACC